CGGAATTACAGGCATGCACTAACACGCCCAGCTGATTTTATTATTTATTGTAGAGATGAGGTCTCGCTGCCCAGGCGGGTCTCGAACCCGCGGGCTCAGGCAATCCACTCACCTCAGCCTCCCAAAGGCGCAGGATTACAGGCTGAGCCACCGAGCCTGGCAGGGATATATTCTTAAAAGGAATCATTAGGTGATTTTTTTTGTTGATATGAGAATGTTCTAGAGTACACCCACACAAACATGATGATATGGTCTAGCTTTTGCTCTTGGGCTATATACCTGCACAGTATGTGACTGTACTGAATACAGTAGGCAATTGTGACAAATGGTGAGTATCTGTGTATCAGAACATATAAACATAGAAAATGAACAGTAAAAATAAGGTATAAAATATATATATATTTTTAGTAGTGCACCTGTATAGAGCACTTATAAGTCATGAATAGAACTTGCAGGACTGGAATCTACACTGATGTGAGTCAGTGATGGTGAGTGAATGTGAGGGCCTAGGACATCTGTTTACCACTGGAAACCTCATAAGCACTATGCACTTAGGCCACCCTATATGTATTTTTTTAAATTTTGTTTTCTTTAGCTTACTGGACACTCTTGTATAGTCAGTTTGTTGTTGAATGAGACATCTTTGGTACATGACTGTATTATAGAATTAAAGGTAGATTGAGATCACATCCGTTTTTAAATTTGTTGCCACAGATGAATTTCTTATACCTAGGAGACAACTCTGATTCCTGATTCTTCAAGGAGAATAGTGAACCTAACTCCTTTCTTCCCTAGTTGTTTGAGAGCCATTCGCGTGCTCCAGAAGAATGGACACGTGCCAAGCGATCCCACTCTTTTTAAATCCTATGCTGAGTATGGTCACTTTGTGGACATCCGAATAGCAGCGCTGGAAGCAGTTGTGGATTATACAAAAGGTAGCACTTTGCAGATATGATGCTTGTGTCACTTGAGAAAGAGATATTTACCTTTTCAAGCCAGTTTTAGTTATGGGTTTTAAACAGTATGTACAATACAGATATTTTAATTTTAAATTCTTGTCTCATTGCTTTAGAAATAATCTTTGATAAATGTAGAATTCACATAAGAATTAATAAATGAGGGAAAATAATAAAATTATAGATATCTTTGACCTCTCCAAGAAGTCCATGTATCATCCCATAGCTTTAATTGCATGTTATTTTAAGAAATATGAGAAGAATTTTGGGAAATTTTAAAGGAGTCAAGAAAACATATAACAGCTTTATAAAAGTTTGCATCTATGAAAATAGAGCAAGAGACATAAAATAGGAACTTCAGTAGGGGAATTAGGCAAGGCTTCATGAATCTGGAAAAAACTAAATGGACCAAAAGTGGGTAAGAGAATAATATATACATTTTCAAAGATAGAGAGGAGAATGATGAAGAGGTGAAAATATTTACAAAAAAAGAAAAAGAGTTACAAAGAATAGAGCAGGTAGAAGAAAAGCAATAATCCAAAAAATAATAGAATACTCTGAAAGGGTGTAAATGTAGCTTACCCAGCCAGGCGCAGTGGCTCACACCTGTAATCCCAGCACTTTCGGAGGCTGAGGTTGGAGGATTGCTTGAGCTCAAGAATTTGAAATCAGCCTGGACAACATAGCAATACATCATCTCTACTAAAAAAAAATAAATTGATAAAAATTAAGAAATAATAAAAGTATACATAGATAAATTGAGCTGACCTAAGGTAGATTCTGATGAATTTTTTATTATTCCGGTCAAGGAAAGTATGTTAAAATCCTAGGACTATCAGAACCAGGTTATTGTGCAAGGTAAAAGTGTTGACCTTTGACTTCTTCAGAATATTAAGAGTCAAAGGACAGAAAACAATGATTGTGCAATTTTTAGGACAGTTATGATCCAGGATTCTCTGTCTTTCCAAGTGGTTGCTCCTATAGGCTTGGAGAATTAGAACTACATCTCCTATGTAACATTCTTTAAATATAGCTCCCACAGATAATTTTCAGCTGACCTGGGTATGGATCAAGATTGGTGAAAGTGGAAATGAAAGAGCTAGTGATGAGTAACTTTGACTGTAAAATAGTAAGCTTAAATATTTGTTAAGTTGGTTGTAAAATTTAATGCACATTTCAAAAATAATTTTTAAGAAATAACATACATATAGAAGGAATATGTAAATATAATCTGCATAAGTGTAATCTACATCTAAAATTTTAGATTTCAGCACTAAAATATGGAAAAAGTAAAGTCTGACTGTAGAAATAGAGGAAGGGGGTGATGGAAGTTCTTTAGTAGATATTGGTTCATTTTCAAACGTTAATTCGAGGGAATTATACTGAGATCTTTTTAATTTCATGTAAATTTCTATAGAAATACTTGTTTACGGTCAGAAAATAAAAAAGGGTAATATGTTCAGAAAGGATTGAGTTCAGAAAGGACTGTCATTGCACTTTTTTACTGAAGGTTAAAATATTCTTTCTTGTAAGAAATGATTATGTAGTGACTATTTTGTTGTTGTTGTTGTTAAGTAAATTTCTTGGTAAGAACAGAAATGTAATCCTATATCAATCTCCATTTCTGTGTTGATGTTTTACCAGTTTGTGAAATCTGTAAGTTTTGAGATTCACCAAATATGTCATTCTCCCTCCCCTTCTTTCCCAAGATATATGAATGGTGTCAAATATCTCATAAATACCAAAAAGATTTCATGAATTTGTGCCACCTGAAATGAAATGGAATACTAATCCTATGTTTCCAAAAGAATGATGAACTGAAAGGTTTAATTTAATTGTGAAACATGAACCCAGACCCCGTTTGTTAAATTGTAGGTTTAAATATTGATAATCAAATTAGAAAATGGAAGAAATGAAAAATATTGGGAATAAAATTCTAAAAACAAAGCTTTTCAAATTATAAAAGCAAAATTGGTTGAAAAGGTGAATGGAAATAACTAGTTATTTTATATCCGTTATATTTATAGCACTGTTTTCATAACTACCTTTTATATTAATCAACTAGAAAAACAATTTTATTTGAACAAATTTTATACAATTTAAGTTAATACTCTAATTTAGGGTTCTTAATGAATTGTAATTTGCTTTTATGTCATGCCATTGGCTTTAGCTTTACTAAAAAAATATACACTTAGTACTATTTTATGACTTGGCTCTGTAGAGTATGAAACTTACAAAAGTTACAAAGAGGCCCCTTGAATTAAAACAAATAGCCGGGCTCGGTGGCTCAGCCTGTAATCCCGAGCCTTTGGGAGGCTGAGGTGAGTGAATTGCCTGAGTCCGTGGGTTCGAGACCCACCTGGGCAACTTGGTGAGACCTCATCTCTACAATAAATCAAAATGAGCCAGGCATGGTAGCACACGCCTGTAGTTCCAGCTACTTGGAAGTCTGAGGCGGAAGGATCACCAGAGTCCAGCAGGTCGAGGCTGCGGTGGCCGGGAGCAGCCACTGCACTCCAGTCTGGGTGACAGAGTGAGACTCCAACTCAAAAAAAACCCCCAAAAAACCAAATAAGACAATTTAAGAGTTTGTCTATAGCTTTCAACTCTGATTGAAAGTTTAGCTGAGACAGAGTCCTGAATATTAAGTGTAAACTCCCTGCTTGTTATTTGTTATTAACAACAGATATGTTTCTTATTTTTATTTTCAGTGGATAGGAGTTATGAAGAACTGCAATGGCTACTCAATATGATTCAGAATGACCCTGTACCCTATGTAAGGTTAGTTTATGTGCCATAATTTTGTAAGCCCTAAAGTGAATTGAGTAATTTCAGACTATACATGGAACAGTTGTTTGTGAGTTTTGAAAACATGGGATATGTTATACATTTATTCACATCATTTTTTACTTGATTTTAAACTTGATTTGCCTCTGGAGAGACATTTTAAATACATTGTTATTAAAGCATATTTCCTGTAATTTTAAGTATGATTCTATTGTAAGTTAAAGGAAACCAGTCCAGGCTCGGTGGCTCAGCCTGTAATCCTGCCCTTTGGGAGGCCAAGGTGAGTGGATTGCCTGAGCCCACGGGTTCAAGACCCACCTGGGCAACTTGGTGAGACCTCATTTCTACAATAAATCAAAAAATTAGCCAGGCGTGGTAACGTGCGCCTGTAGTTCCAGCTACTTGGAAGGCTGAGGTGGAAGGATCGCAGGAGCCCAGCAGGTCGAGGCTGCGGTGGCTGGGAGCGGCCACTGCACTCTAGTCTGGACAACGGAGTGAGACTCCAACTCAAAAAAAAGTAAAAAAAAAAAAAGTTAAAGGAAACCATATATAACAGTTTGTAATAAACATAGAGGATCCCTTATATATCCCAAATTGGAAAACTTTTGTATTGATTGATTTCACCATTTTAAAAGTAATTAGAGCAATGTTTTTGGTTGTACCATTTGTTCCTGTCTAGTCTCATTACACTTGAAATTTTTATAAATATTATTTAAAAATTAGTAGTTGGGCCCTTCATGGCATTTAAAGTAATTTGGGTAGTTTAAAAGCAACTGGACAGAAACTTAACTTTTCTTCTTAGTGCAAATTAAAAGTATAACATCGTTAACATGCTTTAAACAACAAGCTTACCCACATTTTAAAAGTTGTTGTTTACTGATCCACTCTTAAAGCCAGAGGTATTGAAGAGCAGAAATTATGTTTATACATAAACACAAAAACATGAATATGAAATATCCGTGAAGATTTGTATCCCCATTTATATTACCCATGTGTATATTGCTTCTATAGCTACATTTCACTTTTTTTCATGACCTTTCAGTGGTCTTAGTTCACACAGTTTTAAATTCCAAAGCACAAAAGGTTGTTAACAGAATCTGTCATTTAGTTTTACAAACTTGAAATTGCAGTCCAAAGAGGTTAAGTGATTCACCTACTGTCTGGCATTTCCACTCCCTCCCTTGTCCTCCTCACTGACAAACTTAGTTTGATGTCTCACTGCCAACAGTTAAATGTCAGCATCCCTCCTTAGCCTTCTGGAACATTTAGCCAGTCTCCATGGGAATTACCACTCAGTTTCTTTCTTCCTTGCCTTTATCCAGACAGTCCAATCCAGGTCTCAAGTTCCTCAGACTTGACCCCAGCACTGACTTTTAGCCTTTTACCCAGTACTGGATAGCTGCTGCCCATGTCTTACTCTCCTTCCCTTTCTCTGTCCCCTCTTTTTGTCTTTTCCTCAAAGCATCCGATGTAGTTTTTGTTTTTGTTTTCCAAATTGTTTTCATTGCATGGCCTTGTTTTTCAGAAGACTCTAGTGTGTTCAGGTAGCCTCTCATATGAGCTACAACATAACACCGGTGGAGTCTAATGGTTAGCCTCTGTGAAGATGTTTTTTCTAACTGACTCTCCTCAACCACACCTTCACCTCAGCTTATTCTGAGGAAACCTTTTGTGCACCCTTCATATTTAAAATGCTTCTGCACATTTTCATGCTTTATCAAGGTATTATAGTAATAAAATTTATATTCATTTTTTTATCTCAAATGTAGACTTCTGGGCCTATATGTGATCTATTTTGCTTCATATAAGATTTTTATATTTACTGAACAGTCTTTTTTGTACATACTTCTAAACAGAGTGGAATATACATTTTAGAAAGTAGGGTGTGAAAGATTGGTTAGGGTTATGTAGAATCAGGTTTTAAAAGACTTCATTATACAGCAAGGAGATTTTAGAAAGACCAAATCCACCAGAGTTTTTTAGTGAAAAAATGTGTAGTCAGTATCTAAGATGTAATGTATTTTCTTTTTAAAGGAAATTAAATTAAACCACAAAGATTAGACCTAGCGGGGAAAATGATAAAATAGGAAGGAGGAACTACAGATAATTTTCAAATATTTTATGATGTGCCCTACTCATAGCATCCTTTAACAAATGGTCGGAAAAATTTAAATTTTCTTTTTTGAATCTTTCAGGCATAAGATTCTGAACATGTTGACTAAGAATCCACCATTTACTAAGAACATGGAGTCTCCCTTATGCAGCGAAGCCCTGGTAGATCAACTTTGGAAACTTATGAATTCTGGTGAGAGAGCAGATATTTTTTAAAGGATTTTATTATTTTCATTTTACAACAGGTTTTCAATTTAGCAGCATTTAAGAACTGAAGTTAAAAGTTATTTTCTTTTTTTTTTTTGTTTTGAGTCAGAATCTCATTCTGTCACACAGGCTGGAGTGCAGTGGCACAATCACGACTACCACAGCCTCAAACTGCTGGGCTCAGGCAGTCCTTCACCTCAGCCCTCCAAGTAGCTGGGACTATAGGCGCATGCCACCATGCCCAGTCCAGGCTGGTCTCAAACTCTTGGGCTCAGGCAGTCCACTCATCTTGACCCCTCAAAGTGCTGAGATTATAGGTGTGAGCCACCACATGTAAGCTCTACCATGTCTTTTTTTTAAGTAGATTTGTCACACCTTACGGAGGTGATTATGATAACATTTGTTAAGATGACTTACTCAGTTTGCTCTGTCTGGTTGTAGAAGAAATAAAAATATTAATTTTTATGAAAATATCAAATGGTTAAAGCAGCGGACCCCAACCTTTTTGGCATCAGGGATCGGTTTTGTGAAAGACAGTTTTTCTACAAATGGGGACATGGGGGTGGTTTCAGGATGATCCAATCACAATTGCATTTATTGTGCGCTTTATTATTACTGCACTGTAATATACTGTATGATGAAATAATTATATAACTCACCAAAAACAAAAAAGATGCATATGAAAGTGGTAAATAAAATAATAGGTGGGCCACACGTGGACTAAAATAAGTGTTGGATTCTGAGTTAAAGCCTGCCACCAGATGCAGCTGTACAATTGAAGTATGTCAACTCACTTGTCACTCACTGATAGGGTTTTGGTATGAATCTGCAAGCAATCAATTTATTATGGTCTCTGTGCAGTCAACCTTACTGTTAACGTTAATCTGTATTTGCAACCACTCCCCAGCACTGGCATCACTGCCTCAACTTCACCTCAGGTGATTAGGCATTAAATTCTCATAAGGAATGCACAACTTAGATCCCTTGCATGTGCAGTTCACAATAGGGTTCTCGCCCCATTAGTATCTAATGCCTTCACTGATCTAAACATGTTGATCTGACAGGAGGCGGAGCTTAGGTGGTAATGTGAGCAATAGGAGTGACTGGAAATACCTCACTTGCCCACCACTCACCTCCTGCTGTGCGGCCCAGTTCCTAACAGGCCACAGGTTCATGACCCAGGCTTGGGAATCCTTAGGTTAAAGTACTATAAACACGAACCTGAAAAATGTTATTATTATTTCCAAAGGCTACAAAGGAATGAAAAGTAAGTCTTCTCACTTCTTTCCCTAGCTTCCTAGCAGCCTTTCACAGAGTACAAGTTTCTTGTACTTCCAGGGTCAGTCAGTGCCTGTAGAATAACATACAGCCTGTGATTTCAAAATGTGCATATTGTTATTGCCCTATACCTCAGAGATCATAGTGTTTCACAGTTTGAATTTACACTGTTCAAGTAGAATCAGGGGCAGGATAACAGGTTAGAAGCCTCACTGTGGAGTCAGGTGGCTGAGGGCTAAACCAGAGCTCTGGAATGTACTGACGATGTGACTTTTCTCATCTATAAAATGCAGGTGATAATGATACCTGCTTCTGCAAACTGAGAATTAAATGAGTTAGTATTTGTAAAGTATAGTGTCGGACTCATATCAAGCACTCAGAAATGATGATATCATCATGCTTCTCGTGTATTTAGCTATTTGTGTTTCCTTTTTTGTAAATCATTCATGTCCTTTGCCATTTTTACATAACTAGATTATTGGGCTTTCCCTATTTTATGTTGTGTATATTTAAAGAAAGTGGCCCTTTTGTCTTTGATAGTTTGAAATTGTAATACTAGCTTTGGTTTAAAGATTCGGTCAAAAGCTAGGCTGAAATGTGTTTTTGCTTAAAGATAAACAGAGTTGTTGCAGATAGATGGTGGGAGAGCAGTAGGTATTCATTCAAATATTTAAAGCGTTTTAGTGTGTCACTTTATCTTCTCTCTAAAATACTGGGAAATAACTTGTCCTACCTCTCATTTGTGGCTGCTTCACTGACTCACAATTAAATATCAAATGTTATTATGAGTTTACTAATATTGAGATGCTATGTTGAGATGCTGTGTGGTTGTATAACTTACACCTTTCAGTTTAGTAATAATAGTGCAGTACCCCCAAGTAAAGGCACCATGGTAGATATTTTGGTGAAATATGGTAAAATTTTAAATAGTGTGGTCCTTGTCCTCAAGGTCTTTAGAAAACAGCTCATAAACCAGTTTATACTAAGGTATTGCTATATTGTTTTTCTAATGTTTTCCCTAATCCCTAGAAGAATGATTACTGCTATTTATTTATAATGCTTTATATTTTGCAACCTCTGGTTAGCTTAGAAGATGTTATTTCTGTTATTTAGATCCAGGGGATTACCACACAAGTTTAGGCACTTGTAAAGAATTATACATGGCACCAGCTTTCCTGTGTTAAATATATTTTTAACCAGAATATTTGATTCCTTGGCTATGATAGATTACAAATTTGAGGAAAGTATAGTGAAATATGAAGAATTACTTCATTATTTTCTAAGGAATATCATTTGTACAAAATAAAAGTGTGTTCGACATTAATGGGACTATTCTGTACAACATCTGAAGCCCACTGGAATGTTGTGATTATACAAAGCCAAGTTCTGATTGATGTACAATTCCTGCTTGGCTTAAAATTCTCTGTGTCAGTTTCTTAACCAGCAAAATGAGTGAGACCATAGTCATAACCAGTTTATTATTTGGTTTTCCAGATTTGCAAATAAACAGGGATAGTATGAACAGTGGGAGTGCGTGAATAATTAGGAGGATTTTTTTTTTTTTAATGTGTTTGTAGAACATTAGCCATTAGACAGGGAGGATGGACTAGGAAAGATGGTAATTTCCCTTCCAAGGCTGGACCTGTGGGGTATATGAATGAATCTGATGTAAGAAATTCCTTTTTAATTTACTTTTTATAATTTTAAATGATAAAAGTGTATAATATCACAGTTTATTTGAAAAAATAACAAAAAAGGAAAATATTACATAATTTCGTTATATCATCACTATTAAGATTTGAGTATATTTGACCTTTAGAAAAATAAAATTGTGTGTGTTGTGTATACATAGTTGCAGTTGAAATAAAGGTGTAAAGTAGTAGTTTGTCAGGAGAATTTTTCACATTGCTATCTTTTTAATGGTTATTGTTTTAAGAAACTGTAGCAAGAATTCACCAGTAACAAAAGGAGCTAGAGTATCTTCTAGGTCCCCAAGTCCTGCTGAACCTGTGGCACGTCACTCCTTGTTGGGGGCCGCCTGAGTAAACATTATCTTGATTTACATATTGAGATCAAGTAAACTGTGAACAACAAATTTAATTACATTTGTTTATGTCTGTCTTACTTCAAGGTGGATTTGAAGTATATTGACTTTGCATAGTAATAGAATAACTTCATAAAACTGCAAAATTCATTATACTCATTAAAAATATGGAGGAGAGAGTAACTGTTATGACAGTTAAAATAGATCATCTTATGAGATGATTATCAGACAATTTTGAAAGAGTCCAAGTTTGATTGCTTAGTTGGCTTCAGAAATTTTTCAGTAAGAAACCAATTATGGTGGCATGCATAGAAACAGGATTTAGAAAACTGACATCAGTTTGAAATAGATGAACTAAGGAACAGCATTCATGGTTTTTAAAAATTCATATACCATTAAATTAATGTCAATACTCATTTTATAAATACACTGCCTCACAGCTGCGAGACAGGAACAGAAGCTGGGGGGCTTTTGGTGCCCAAGTCACTATAACACCATATAACAGAAAGAAGGTGTTCACACTTGAGACCCCAGGGCAGCCTGGCCTCTGCAGCTTCCTGCTGCATGGTGGCTTTACTAGCCTTACATTCTGGAAGGTACACTAGGGTCTTTCAGCAGTGCTTGCTTTGAAAACCATGCACATACATTCTGTAGTTTAATTTTTTATATAAAAGTTTATCTTTAATATTTTGTTTTTAAAAATTTCAAAGCTGGAAAAATTTAAAGAAAAATACAATGAATAATAATATGCTTTCAGCTTCATTCATCGGTTAACATTTTACCACATTTACTTTATCTCCTTTTCCTTCTTTTTCTTGTATATATATTCACATCCTCTCCTTTTTTCTGAATTATTTGAAAATAGATTGCATCATGATCCTCTTCCCAAAATACTTTAGAATGTACTCCTGAGAGCAAGGTCATTTTCTTATATATCTACAGTGTCATTGTCAGACCCCACCCCAATATAGAGTTCAGAGTTCTTCAGTTTCCAGAAATGTTCTCCATTCCAATACAACTTCTAAATCAATGCTCCACAGAAAGATTTTTAAAGACCAGGATCTTTTACATTATATGGTCTTAATTCCTAGCTGCTTAAGAAAGCAACACAGATAGGTTTGTTTTTAACTGAAAATGTCACATGGTCCAGGGGCAGTCCTTTTTATGTTTCACACATTAATATTTTCACAGGTTATTTCTTGAGTACCTTCTTTTTGACACTATGCTATGCTTCATGTATGCTGACTTGGTATTATGGAGTAGAGATGAGAGCAGGTATATTATTACTATAACATGAAGAGATGGTTGCTAAAATAAAGAGAACAAATGACTAGCAAACCCAAGGAAGGGGTCATGAGCCTTGTCTGGAATACCGGGACACTTGTGAACAGCTCTCAAGATTGCAAAGGGCCTTCTAGCCAGAGACATTTGAGGTCAGAGAACTGTGAAAAAAGTCTCATATTCTGAAGGATGTTTAGAAAACATGGCTATCATCTGGACAGATAGGCTAGGGCCCCAGTGAGGTCCTCAGGAGCTTGTTCACACTGTAGGCCGTGGGGAGCAGGGTTTGTAGACCACACTGACTTCCAGTAGCTCTATCCTGAAAGGAATGTTTTGTTTGTTCATTTGTTTCCCAAAGGAAAAATTTCAAAATTCAAGACATACAGGGTCCGACCATTAATATCTCGGAGTGAGATACTGAATTATAGGCCAACATAATTTTTAAAATACATTACAAAAATAAAAATCTAAGGACTGGAGAATTCTGTTGGTGCCTTATATTTAACTCATAAGTGCTTTCTCTGGTCTTGCCTGATAAAGAGTGATTTTCACTTCTGAAGACATCAGTCTTCATTGAGGAGTGGGTGTCTGTGCCGGTGTGTCATTATGAAGGATATGTAGCCATTGCTCCTCATTGTTGGGCATGTCACTACAACAATGGCATGAAAACATCCTTGTCATCACTGAGGACATGAAGCCTGTTGACCTACATCATAATTTTTAGTGTTCTGAAATTTACGGTTATGATTAAGGGGCTAAAATGAGGGACAACTTCTAATTTGGTTTGATAGGATTTGCCAGGCTTCAGAGTAAGAAAATAAACAATTTTGATATTAACATTAGAAGGTCTCAAAGTTCTGTTCTTCCCTCTCTCTCCCCAATACCTTCCTTCTTAGGAACAGAAATGGTGGAAGGAAATGAAAGCATATTGATTCATCTGTGCTGAAAGTTACATATGTACACACAGAAATGAATTTGCTGCTTTTGTTCAGGGCAAGATGGACAGAAAGAGCAGGGCAGTAACACCCAGTGGGAATCATGAGCCACTGGCTCAACTCTACACATTTCTAAGCATGTGTCGTCAGTAGGGAGTGTGGGTTTTTTTCAGAAATGTCCTGAAGACAGCAGCTTCAAAGTTAACTTTCTTCTTAGCAGCTTTTTCACTTGATCAGTGTTAATATCAGTTACCTCAGAAAATGAAAATGAAGATGATTTTTGGAAGGATCATCTTTGCTGTTTGAGAGGTTGTCTTCAGGCACTTTCTGATTTGAACAGAGAGTATCAAACCTGCGTTTCTTATTTCTTGGGTGTTTTTCTGATTCAGATAAGCAGGGTTGGTCCCGCAGTATAACTGCTGATGAAGACAGGATGTACAGTGTTTTACCTAAGAGGTAAGAGAATGACTGCCATTTTGTCACATATGCGGTCACTCATCGCTGCACATGATTGAGGGGATAGCTGGAATATTAAAGCGTCTTCAAGATATTATAACTAAAGGCAGGAATTAGGAGCTGTCTCCGGCCTCTCCCTAATGCAGTGGCTTACTTTGAAGTCACAGGACTTTAGACTTGAGGTGAGCTTAAGGATATCTGAGGGCACTGCTCTGATCCTCTGAGTTATAGCCCCGACTTGCCCAAGGTCACAGAGCTAACTGGTAATTAAGCAGAAGTGTTCCTTCCCACTGTGTCTCTCAACTTAATTACGGAAAATATCGTGACATCTTTAGGTTTTATTTCATAATTTTGGAATACAATGAGGTTTTTATTTTTAATCTCTGACCTTTTCTGTCTTTTGCAATTGTAAGAGAAGCACTGCTGTTCATTTTTTAACTCTCTTATAGCCCCCAATTTTAATATATAAGTACATTTTAAGAGGGAAAAAAAGTGCTATCAAGAACTTCCCCTAAGAACAAAATAATGATGTTCATTTCTGCATCCAAACTGAAAGACTACCACAAAGAAATAAAAATAACAACAACAACAAAAAAAACATACTTCTCTACAAGAGAAAAAAAGGGTAAACGAGAAAAAACAAGTCATATTCTAGGACTTGAGTGCATTTAGAGCTTTGACTATTCTACCCAGTCATGCTCAAGCTGATAATACCCCAGCTCATCAAAATACTCGTTTTCTATTTATTTTAAAATTAAAATGATGTATTTTTTAAAACTTTAAGGAATTCACAATTGCATGACTCATTTCAAAGTCACCGACACATGGGAAGGTTCAGGATGGTTATTTGCATGCACATACGATTAGGCAACATTCATCCTCAAGCTTGGTCTTCTTCTGAACAGTAGATGAACCTTGAACCATTCCAGTCTTCCTTACTAAGAGCCACTCCTTTTCTCATTGTGACTATGGTTAAGTAGATGCAGGCCAATGGTTCTAGGTGGCCAAAAACTCTCTTGCTCACAGTACTTCCTCCTTACCTCAGAGGGCCAAGGCCCCAGCCTTCCCTCATGAAAGTCCCTTTGTGGACCTTTTGCATGTAAAGGCTTCAGGAAGAGAATCATGAGTGCTCCCACGAGATGCCAGTTCAGGCTATCAAAGAGTCCCCATGTGCATATTTCAGAGAAGGAGAGCAAGTTTCCAGTATGAAAGTCTTGCTTTCACTGTGTGCTGTTTTCACATTTCTCACTTTTGGAGTTTTCATGATGTGAAAACCTAATCCTCATCTGGAGCCCTGGACTCCAACAATGTTGCACATCATACCACAGCAAGATTGGAAGCTTCTCACATCGGTATGGAAAGCTGCTTACAGCAGTGGAGTGTGTGAGTGCCCAGCACCATGCCTTCCAGCATGACCTCAGTACAGGTGTGATTTCTCCCATTACGGAGTTCCTTTGCATGTAATTAATATAGTAGTTACTTATCTGCTAGAGTAAATCTGATCAAGTCAATGTTAGATTACAATTTATTTACTTATTCTAATATTTGTTGTTGAAAATCACGAAGATCAGAATTGTTTCCTTTGTTTCTTCTTTTTCACTATTGTGGTACTCTTTTGAAACCAGGATCTTGGTCAGAATTAGATATTTATAGGGTTTATTTTTCTTGCCAAGAAGAATTTCCACATTCCTTTTATTCACTTGTTTTAAATTCTCCAGATCATTTAAAACTCTAACTAGACGCCATAGAGATTGCCTAACCTCAGGTGAGGTATTCTCTTTCCAGTTAATTCTCTTTGACAGCAGTGTCTACTTGGAGTGCCCTACTGTGGAGAAAAAGAAAGACCTCTGAGATCATTGTGCTCATGTCTGTCTTTGCTATGTGTTGAGGTATGACTTGAGACCAAAACTGTTATTTGAGAGGTGAAAAAACTGTGACTCAGAGAAATGAAGGCACTTGCTTCTAGTCTTTCGGCCACCTTAAACTGTTAGTTTCTACCGGCAGATGTCTTCTGGCAAAGGACATGTTTACTACCTATTACCATCCCTGTGGTTTGCTTATTTCTGCCATTAAATAAAACACTTAGTAAAATTACATAGAAAAATGTTTAGCAAAACATTTTCTCCCTCTACAAGTCCAAGTTTAGAATTGTTATTTTGAGTAGTTGTATGATTTCCTACCATATTTAAAACCTGATTAACCAGAAAAAAAAAACCACAAAAAACAAAACCTGAAAGTCATAAGCTCTAGAAAAGGAACTTTTTTCAGTGACAGGACATGTTAAGGCTCCTAGAATGATGTCCTCCCAGTAGACTATTAATGGAGAGAATCAGACAGGATGAACACAGAATGAGTTAGTATGGAGTAATTACTGAGAAGGAAGAAATAAAAGACCAGAAAAATATTATTTTGGGAATCTTAGGTTTTTAATTGATGTCTAGTATTCATTTTTTTTTTTTTTTTTTTTTTTGAGTTGGAGTCTTAACTCTGTTGCCCAGACTGGAGTGCAGTGGCCGTTCCCGGCCACTGCAGCCTTGACCTGCTGGGCTCCAGCGATCCTTCCGCCTTGGCCTTCCGAGTAGCTGGAATTACAGGCGCACGCTACCACGCCCGGCTGAATTTTTGATTTATTGTAGAGATGAGGTCTCGCTGCCCAGGCGGGTCTCCAACCTGCGGGCTCAGGCAGTCCACTCACCTCAGCCTCCCAAAGGCACGGGATTACAGGCTGAGCCACCGAGCCCGGCTAGTATTCATTTTGTAAGAAAGGTGTGATAACGTTTTTCCCAGTTGCACCATTTCTTGTAGGGATACATGTTCTGAGCAATTAAGAATACATGGAGAAATGTGCATACTGACTTGTTTTTTTAATTTACCTCCTAGGTACTTCGCATGACTGGAGGCTGCGGTGTGGTGCTGTGGACTTGTACTTCACCCTTTTTGGCCTCAGTAGACCTTCCTGTTTACCCTTGCCAGAGCTTGGGTTGGTTCTTAATCTAAAGGAGAAGAAAGCTGTCTTGAATCCCACCATCATTCCAGAGGCTGTAGCAGGCAGCCAGGAAGCTGCAAGTAATCTAGGCAGTCACACACCGCTGGTTGGATTCCCGCACCCTGTAAGCATCACTAAACATCACTGCATTGCTGAAGGTGTAGTTGATTACATAGAGCCTTCTAGAGAAGAGCATTGTTTCCTGTGAACTGGTGAATTTTATAGCTGCTAACGTGGTTTCTTGTGTCATTGTAAATCTTGCTGGCTGACGTGTTTAGCACTGTATGATTTATAAAATGCTGCTGGTGACTACACAAACTGCACATAACACTAGACATGCTCCTAGTCCATGTACTTCTTTTGTGAAAGCATAATGATTTTTTGGTATTTGAGCATCATATTCCTTCTCTGAGTAGCAGAAAACAGAAATGAGTACTTGGCCTTGTACATATTAACCTGTCTTGTCCATGTGTGTACCTGACAGCTGTGTAGACAGGGCCCTGTCTTTGGGTAGTTGTTACTCTGCATCATACCTAGCACGGTTTGGAATATATGAGAGTGCCTGGAAGTGCTTGTTGAGTGAGGAAGTAAAAAATAAATAACTGAGTGAATGAATAAGCATGTAAATGAATGATGTGCTTATTTGAGAGACTGTGCGTTACATTTTCAAATTTTATATATGTGTGTGTATACAAGGAGGGACCCCCCAAAAAACCCAGAACTAATTTATTAAAAATTGTGTCTTTATTCTTACATGTTTAAACTTCATTTACCTTCAAATTACTCTCCATTTGATCCAATAAACCTGTCAAGACACTTTTTCCACTGCTCAAAACAGTTTTGAACTTGTCAATTTTGATGCCTTTTAGTGCTTCTGCCATTTTTTTGTTTCACCTCTTCCACATCAGCAAAGTGTTTCCCTTTGAGAACTTTTTTTTATCTGGAGAAATAAAAAAAGTTACTTGGAGTGAGATCAGGTTAATAGGGAGGGTGAGGCACGGATATCAGCAGTTTTTGGTCAAAAACGGCTGAACATAGCACAGTGTGGGCAGATTGTCATAGTGGAAGAATCAGTCGCCTGTTTGCCACAAAAAAATTCACTGAAGCCAAATGCAGCCTCTCACAACAATGCTAGCGGGTGCATTAATGCTGATGTGTTTCTAGAACACTTACCTAGTGGGGAAAGCCTGTACTACAAGGAGTCCTTGCTCCAAAAGATAATTACATTTTTTGAGGGGGGGGTCCCCTCATATATGTATATGTTTGTTTGCCTTTATAAAAGCATTTATTTCCACCTATGCGTTATGAAATTACCATACATTTTGTAGAATGCATATTAGTCATTTTACTGAAATTTAAAGGCAGTTTTTCTGAAATGATTTTCTTCCTGATGACAAAATGTCTCCAATACTTGAAGCTTCACTTTTCACCAATATTTAGACCAGATTATTTGCCTGGCAATTCGCTACTGGTGTTTTAACACTTTAAAACTCAGATTCTCTTTAAGTTAGGTAGTAATAGTCATTTTCAGTTTGCTTATTCACCTAAATTTTCTGGAATGTAATCATACATATTTGTTATAAATTTAAAATGTGTCCTAGAATTTGAATTGTGAAGAAGTAAGACAAATTGTTACACAGAAAAATAGAGTCTCATTAAAGAGCTCTTTCAGATCTAAATATTTATTAACCTGTGAAAACAAATATATGTATAGTTCTTGCCCGTGTGTCAAGATAAGAGGAAAAAATGGCACCAAGAAACAATTTATTTTAGGAAAGCTCTGAAGTTTACTGAAATACCTCGCTTCTCCTTCCAGAAAGACTGAGAGATAGGAAAAGGTTAAATTTATTTTGATCCTATTGTTGATAACTTTTAGCCATTGGACATGCTCTAATTGCATGGTTGCTGTAGCTGTTATTTTTCAGCTAGCATATGAGCTACTTGTCTTCAGAAATCTAATTTTGATCTTGAATATTGCTGCAGGAAAATGGTCACCTTGCCAAGGAAGCATAATGTAATATGTCAGCTCATTAGCAGGGGGTGAAGAGGAAGGTTGATACACCACTGGGGTCCCCACTAGAACCTGGTTAAATACTGGAGAAGAATGAGGGTAGCAGTAAAGTCAAACTCAAAATCAGAGTAAGGAATACAGGTTGAACCTATATTAACAGTGTAGGATAGTCACCCACTTGCAGGTCTTTTTGAATACTTGCAGTGGTTTTTCCTTAGCAGGAACTCATGAGACAGACTGAATTTTAAAAGAACTCAAACATCCTTCTAAGACATTGGCACCAATTATTGAACATCTGTGGTGACAAATTTCTTCTCTGTTTGGGGAAGGAACTATTTGTGCATGGTACACCACAGCTCACTACTTTTTCCCACAACATAGGAATAGATTTTAGTTGCTGTCATATTTCCAGTAATTTCTAATCAACTTCTTTTGGAGGCTGGACCACATAATCTTTCTCTTAATACCTTTTGAGGAAAAGACTATTTCCTGCTAAGATTATATATGGAGGTATATTCTATGGCCTCTCTGCTCTTTTTCCTAAGAGCCAAGATTCAAATGCAGTATGATGTAACAGCCCTTTTATTCCTTTGTTTTGTGTGTATGTGTGTGCTAGTTTTCAAGTTCTCAGGATGAAGAGGAGATTGATATGGATACGGTCCATGACAGCCAGGCCTTCATTTCTCATCATTTGAACATGCTTGAAAGGCCATCGACTCCAGGTGAGATCAGTGAAAGCCAATATTCTAAGGTGTGTTGCTTTACTCTCAAATGAACAACTAGAAAGTTTAAGATTAGTCAGCATAAAGCATTACTGTATCAGATTAAAACAAATATCGCCCTCCCATCCAAGTACTAACCAGGCCTGACCCTGTTTAGCTTTCAAGATAGACAAGATTGGACATGTTCAGGGTAGTATGGCCATAGACGGTTACAACATATATTGAAAAAATAATAAATTTTAAAAGTGTTTCTTTTGGTTTTCTGTTTTATTTTGGTCCTTTTTAAATGTTTGGCACACTTCTGAATTTGTTTTTATAAAATTCATCAGATTCCTTCTAATAGCTTTAATTTCTTCTTTGTGTATATGTGGCAAGCTTAAGTAATGACTTAATTATATCTGATTTCTTTGTAATAATATAGTTACATAGCTGGGCTCGGTGGCTCAGCCTGTAATCCTGCGCCTTTGGGAGGCTGAGGTGAGTGGATTGCCTGAGCCCGCAGGTTCAAGACCCGCCTGGGCAGCGAGACCTCATCTCTACAATAAATAAAAAAATCAGCCGGGCATGGTAGCGCATGCCTGTAATTCCGGCTACTTGGAAGGCTGAGGCGGAAGGATCACCTGAGCCCAGCAGGTCGAGGCTGCAGTGGCCGGGAGCGGCCACTGCACTCCAGTCTGGGCGACAGAGTGAGACTCCAACTCAAAAAAAAAAATAATAATAATAATATATTTACATTAAAAAATTTTTTGCCAAGGTTGATGCTGCTCATGACACTACTTTCTCTTTTTGTCTGCCTATTCCGCATATTATATCATAAACTTTTTCATGTATTGCTCAAAAACCTTAATGTTTTCTTTTGAAAATACTACGTAAGACACTGTGGATTTGATGTACCATAATTTATTATTTCCCTGTTGATAGGCATTCAGATTGTTTCTAATTTGTGCATATTATAGATAATTCTGCACTGAATATCTTTATATAAAAAACTTTTGTTCTTTGGGTAAATTCCTCATAATGTATTAATGGTGAAAAGATTTAATGTTAGCTATATCGTATGATGCTTATCTTTAGAAGATTTTTATAGTTCTTGATACATACTGCCATAATGTTTTTGAAGAGATTATACCAGTTCATCTCATAAGCTTTTTTAAACTTTTAAGCGCGTCAACCTTTCATGTAACTTGCATATAAGTCACAGAACACAGTAATAAAACAAGAGTCTGTGAACCTGTCACCCAACCTAACATGTGTGAACGTTCCCTGTGTGTGATTTCCTGCCTCTCCACTACAAGTAGCCACTGTCTTGAATTTTCTTTCTTTTTTTTTAATTTCATCCTGTTGCTTTCCTTTAGAGCATACCACATAGGTATGTGATCCTGTGTTTATTTGTACGTATTTTTGAACTTTTATGAAAATGTTATAACATGACTTGCTTTTTTCACTCAACATTATGTGTCTAAAATTCATATTAATACATAAATTCTAATTGTTATTTATGATGATTTTTTGCTTCTGTCATAGTACTGTTTTGTCATCAGTATAATAATTTAAAACTAGTAGAGTGGCTATAAAATAATAACTCAGTTTACCTTTTTTTTTTTTTTTTTGAGTTGGAGTCTCACTCTGTCGCCCAGACTGGAGTGCAATGGCCGCTCCCAGCCACCGCAGCCTCGACCTGCTGGGCTCCGGCGATCCTTCCGCCTCAGCCTTCCAAGGAGCTGGAATTACAGGCATGCACTACCACGCCCAGCTGATTTTTTGATTTATTGTAGAGATGAGGTCTCGCTGCCCAGGCGGGTCTCGAACCCACGGGCTCGGGCAATTCACTCACCTCAGCCTCCCAAAGGCGCGGGATTACAGGCTGAGCCACCGAGCCCGGCTTCAGTTTACCTTTTTAATGCATTTCTTCTCTTATGAGTATGACTACCTTTCTTTTTCTGTCCATTGTTGCTATTTCTTTTTGTTTGAGAATCCTATTTATAGCCCATGGTTGTTATCTTTTATGAGCTTTACATTTGAATGAGATTTTTTTGTTTGTTTTAACATGTTACATTTGTGCTAAGACTTCATGACTCACCTTGATTTGCTTTCTGTTTATTTGGGTTTTTGTTTTAATTTTATTTATTTATTTATGAGAACTAAATTATTTTTCACTATCTAGTAACTGAGCCAATAGAATTGAGAACTGGCTATAGGTAGAATATGAATCTAAGATATATTTGAAGACTAATAGAACAAGCAGAGAGATGCTAAGTGACTTGCCCTATTTGGCTTACCCAATGGCCAGCTAAGGCTGGACCCAAATCTTAGGACCTTTCCATGTGACAAATTAAGGAATTAAGACACAAAGAGATAAAGTATCTTACCAGAATGTATTTCTAATTTGTTGACAAGTTTGGAATCAAAACCAGGATCTCTGGATTCCTACTACAATGCTGTTCCCATTACACCATTAAACCATTTTCTGTTTTAAATGTCTTCTTTGATCTCTAAATTATTTGATCCATTTGTTGAATAAATTTTATAGCAGAATAGCAAATTTTGAGGGAGGGGCAAAGTTCCACATAAATAATAATAAATATGACATGGTTTCTCTCCCAGAATGGAGGGTGTAATTTGTATGTTCAACAAGTCATTCAAACTCTCAAATGCATGTTGTTCTCAGACTTAAGCTTATAGGAACTATAACAAAGGATTAAGTTAAATGGAATTTTTAGTTGTTTTAAAATAGTATTATTTTTATTGTTAGAATTTTACTGTGGTTGAACTGCTTCTGATGCTTCTGATTTTAATGCTAACTTACAAAATCCTGACAGGCTTTTTTTCCCCCCTTGGCAAACAAAGAAATAAGTCCTTTATTTTCTTTTGTTTGGCATTTTAGGGCTCTCTAAATATCGGCCAGCTAGTTGCCGGTCGGCTTTAATACCTCAGCATTCCTCAGGCGGTGACGGCACACCCACTACCAAGCCCCAATGGAGTATGGAACTCACTCGCAAGGGAGCAGGTTATTATCGTTATTATTATTATTTGTTCAAGAACAAGTCTATGAACTTTAGAGTTACTTTAGCAGCTTAAAAGAATACTTAATAGATCTTAGAATGTGCTTTTCTTGCAGTGTACTGACATATTATCTAACTTTAAAGGCTGTTTTAAAATAGACTTTTCTTTTTCAAAAGTAATGTACTCCTGTTATAGAAAACCCGGAAATAACAGAAAAAGCCTCCATTATGTCATTTAAAGACAACTGTTATGTTAGCATTTTCTCTTTCCTTGCCGGCTTTTGCTAAGAATGTTGTGACAGATGCCAGCTTCAGTAAAAATCATTAAACCCGTACCTTTCCACCTTCACAGACATCAAAAATTAGCCATCTGTTTCTCCCCCATGTTTATGATTTATGATTCATTAGTGAAGACTTGATGCTATTCTTATATTATTTCACAGCAATTGGGCTTAGGTTTATGAAAAGTAATTCTCTTCAGATGTGTTTGTGACCTATTCTACTAGGCACATTATTTTCTGCTTACTCTGTTCTTCATTGCTTACAAAGATAAGATTTTAACAAATAAACAGTGAATATATGATGTTGATGAACTAACATGAACAAAGATTCAGTCCTCAAGTTTTAAAGGAACAGAGAGTGAAACACAAGATACATAAACAAAACCATTTTTAAAGAACAGTTTTTCCAAAAGACATTAGTCAGACTCCAAAATCTATGAACTTCTGGTTATATTCCAACTGATGGATTCTGCTTACATAAAAGATATTTTTATTCACTGTTGTACAAAGAGCCTTGTTTGTTGCTTTGAGGAGCGTTGGAGGCCAACTGTGGTTAATAGGAGAAACTTTGAACAAAGCAGCACCTCAGCCTTTGGGTGTAGGGGCCCTGACTCAGTCACCCGTGGCTCTTCATGCTCTGGACTTGTGTTGTGATAATCGCCAGTGGCCATATTCTGGGCTTGTGCTGTGGCAGTTACCCTTGACTCTTTGTGCTCTGGGCTTGTGTTGTGATAGAGTCTCATAGAATATGTTTCAGAATGAGGCCAGTCACCTGGTTGCCCATGGCTGTTTGTCTGTAGCTCTTCGTGGGTCTGTACTCTGCCCGTAGCTCTTCGTGTGCTCTGGGCTTGTGTTGTGATGGTTGCCCATGGTTCTTCGTGCTCTGGGCTTGTGTTATGGTGGTTGCCTGTGGCTTTTTGTGCTCTAGGCTTGTGTTGTGATAGAGTCCCATGGGATATGTTCAGAAGAAGGTCAGCTACTTGGTCACCTGTGCGCTCTGCGCTTGTATCGTGACGGTCACCCGTAGCTCTTCGTGCTCTGGGCTTATATTGTGATAGTCACCTGTGGCTCTTCATGCTCTGGGCTTGTGTTGTGATAGTTGCCCATGGTTTTTCACACTCTGGGCTCATTGTGGTAGAATCCCACGGCACATGTTGAAGTAGGTTAGCTTGGGGGGCCTCAACACTTGCTTTGATTAATGTATTTCTACGTTTCTTACCCCTGCTGATTTTTTGTATTCTCTCAGTCTTGTTTTTGGGTTTGTTATAATCTCACTTTATTATTATTATACTTATTAAAATTACACTAGATGTGAAGAATTTTTCAGTTTTAAAATTGCACAGCTTAGTTTCAGACTTTTTGACAGAGTTTGAGAATGATGCTTCTGCCTGCCTTCCTTACCTTTAAAAAGAAATAATTTTTGTCTGAATTTCCCAGAGTCTAATCAATTTTTGTTCCTAAAAGAATCTGATACATTTGTTTGTTTTTTCCTTGTGATGTGGCACCGTAAAATGTGTAAAAGCAAATCTTTACACCTTTCCGTGCCCACCAGTGTGCTTGGTGTCAATGATCCACGTTGCTTTTAAAATGCATTTTCACTATCTTGGAATTACTCTTTATTGTCTCTTAATGTCATGAGTCAAAATGTACACCAGTGAGGTGGACCGTCTGCAGAGCTTTACTCTGAATGTATATAATGTGCTTTTGCACTTCCTTCAGATGTATTTATGCTGGCTGGTACCCTAAGGCCACTGAGCAAATCTTGAAACAACAGCAATATTCAAAGAATTGAGAAAACAGTAGTATTTCAAAGGTGTATTTATATATGTATTCATTTGGGAACAACCTCACCCACAGAAGCTCTTTTACTTGATGGGTAGATCAAGAATAGCAGTGTCAGGCCTAGCCATAGAGTACAACGATGTTTCTGTAAGCAAGACACTCAGCTCCATCTTCTGGGATGTCAGAATTGCAACCTTAGGGGAAAGAAGGAATGTCCTCTCCTCCTCCCTCCAGTCGACACTTTGACCCAGCATTGAGATCTGGGGCTCAGGGGAGACTGGGAGCAGTGATCAGGGAAGTTGTGGCCTTTCTCCAGTCTCCAGGGAGTCTGGATTAAAGGTCACAAATGGGCTCTTGGGCCCATATTTAGCTCCTTCAACTGGGCCATCTTTTACCAGTTTGTGTAAGCCTTACAAAATGTTTCTCAACTAGTTGATTAAAATGAAGATATGACACATCAAAATCTGGCATTTGAACTTTTCTTCAAAAAGAAACTTTCAACAAGAAGATGTAACATCTTGGTCAGGGCGTGTGCCTTTCAGGTAGTCCCTCACCTGCACCAAGGTCTTCTTGGCACCACACAGGGTCCTCAGGTCTAGGACTTTGGGGCGTGATGCCCCACTTTTCTTAATTCACAAGCCAAGATGAAGTTCAGATGAAGCAGGAGGAAGATGTGATGAGACTTCCAGGGGGACAGGAAAGGCTCGGGGCATGGCTGCAAGGGGCAGAAGTTCAGAATGAGCACAGGCCTGGTGTGCCTTTAGCTCTTCCTCCATCTTCCCTGTCCTGGCATGTGGTGAGGGACCCCATCAGGGAGGGGTCCCATGCAGAGGCCCCTTCAGCTGTTGGCATGAGGAATAAGTGGCCAGAGTGTTCCTTTATTCCCTTTCCTGAGGTGAGGCAGGGGAACTGGAGAAAGCGTCACGGTTCCCAGTGGTGGCTGGACACACCACTCGCCTCCCTCCCTCGCTGTAGCTCCCTGCCTACTGGGAGGCCTGGGGGAGAAGCAGAGGGAAATCCCTGGTGGTACTTGTGGGAGGGGCAGCCCTGCAGCTGCCTCCAGGGCTGCTCTGTTATGTAATACCTTCTTGCTTAAGTAAGAAAAGCACCATTCTAGTACTTTTTTTTAATTAAAAAAGTGTTTTAAAGCTTGAGAGCTTGCCCTAGAGGTCTTTCTTTTGAAACTCTAATGTGAAAAACAGACTGAGTTTTTCTTCTTAAATTATAATATAATTCTATACTTTATTTTTTGCAGTGATCTAAAGACTCTGAAGGACAGACCTCACGTCTTTCCTAATGGAAACTTCAGGTTCTGTGTTACAGTTAAACATATATTAAGTGCAAATGAGCTTAATAGAGTAGCAGGTTATTCACTGTTTCTTATCAGCATTTTTGTCAGATAGGCTGAAAAGCTGTTCACATTTGGCTTATATTAAGCACCTCTTCCTGTTTGTTGTATATTTGTTATATCGACTGCACCTAACCCTTGTCCATGGGGCATTTTATCCAGTCTCCAGGAAAGATTTTTACATTGAGTAGAACAACAAAACCCTGAACTTCTCTTTTGTTCTTTCTATATAGAATGAAATAGGAAAATTGTGGTATTATGAATTAAATGTGTCTCCTTTGTCTAGTATAACTGCTATCTGGAATAGGGACATAGATTTCAGGTTACTAAAAGGCTTTTATTAGCTTTAAAATGAGTGATGCTTAATCCTGGGTAAGCCTCAAGTTCCAGACATCTTGTGAGTCCATGAAATGACATGTGGCTTATGTGTATAATTGTTTATGTCAAGGGGATGCTGTGGTGTACCATTTTCTTTGTAGAGAGTCTGTAGATGACGTCAGCATGCTGCTGTGAAAGTAGACCCATGTGTCTGAATGTTAATAAAATCCCACATGGGAAGGAAGCTGTACTTTCTTATCACCTTAGATTAGACCTGGTAAAAATTATTCAGGAAAAATAGAGAATAAGCATCTTAAAATATATATGTGTATATATATACATATATATATAATATGTATATATAGTCTATAATACATGTATATATACATATATAATATGTATGTGTGTGTATATATATAGTCTATAATATATGTATATATAGTCTATAATAAATGAAAACTTAAGAAATAAGTGTTGGTGATAGGGAAACATTGGAGCAGATGTTTTGCTGTTACAAATATTTTCAATTAATATCTTTGTATATGTCTTTGCACATAGACATGAGCATATTAGTGGGATAAATTTCTAGAAATTGACTTTCTTAACCAAAGACTGTGGGTATTTGGCATTTCCATGATGTTGCCAATTTGCCTAGCAACTCTTTTTTTTAAAGAAAATGCTTTATTATGGAGAACTGTAAAGTAGTCAAACTACTATCCTGAATCCCCTATATGTACTACTCAGCTTCAGCAGTGGTCAGCTCATGGTTAGTCCTGTTTAATTTAAACCCCTATTAATTTCCACCTTTCTAAATTATTTTCAAGTAAATCCGCATATATAATTTCATTCATGAATAATTTAGTATGTATCTCTAAAAGGTAGGACTTTTAAAAAATCATAAACAGTAAAATATACCTAAAAAATTAATTATTTTATAGTATGAATTATCCAGTCACTGTTTAAATTTCAGTTGGGCTGAGTGTGGTGTCTCATGCCTATAATCCCAGCACTTTGGGAGGCCAAGGTGGGAGGATCACTTGAGTCCACGCCTGTCTGGACAACATAGCAAGACCCCATCTCTACAACATGTCAAATAATTAACTGGGCCTGGTGGCACATGCCTGTAGTCCCAGCTACTCAGGAGACTAAGGGAGGAGACTACTTGAGTCAAGGAGATCAAGGCTGCATTGAGCTATGATTATGCCACTGCATGCCAGTCTGGGTGACAGAGTGAGACTCCATCTTTAAAAATAAGAATAATTAAATTGACTCAAAA